ACACTGGACGGATCACACACCACAGCCACATGAATCTGGTGCGCCACAGACGCAAAGTGAGGCTCAGGCGGTGATGTGTCCCGTTCATGTCACTCACTGACTGCGTGGACGCGTGGTCTGTGCTCCACCTCCTGTGGCTGACATAATGAAGTGGACAAGCTGGCAGCTGGCAATCCAGGAACATGGCAAACCAGGTTTCACGAGGCCCAGCTGCGGCAGCTCCACGTCCAGCCCACCCAGCTCCCCCTTCAGCAACGCCTTTCAATCCAATGGCGGCCCTTGCTATTGTTCCCTGCTATCCGCTGCGAATCCAGTAATATTGTTCCAGCCCATCAGCACAGCATATCACCCACAGGCGACAGCACCAGAAACGCCAGGCCAGGGGGTAGCCAGTAGCAGCAGCAGCAGCAGGTTTCCCGCCCGTCACAAGAGAGTCCAAGCTCACCACCTGCCCCAAAGGTGGTGCTTTGCTTGTACCTTGCCTTTACGCAGTCACGCAGTACAGAGTATCCGTACCTACCTCAGGTACCTTACCCAGCCAGGCACCTCAATCAATTGACGCCGCACTCCCTCGTTCGCCATCCCGCCTCTGCCACGCTCCCGTCCCACGCCAAAACCCAGGACAGGCCAGGCAAGCATCTATCTATCCCTCGCCAATCTCACCGACCACGCTTCGGTTTGCGACTGCGAGCCCCTCGCGGCCATCCCTCTACTCCCAGCCATCTGCTCCAACCCGCGATTCCCACAGGAAGCTGCATTTCTACCGCGACCGCATGCTTCAAGTCGAACCTCGGAGCTCCTAACACCGTATCCCGTCGACGACAGCCTCGAGCCCATCTGCTACCGCTGAAGCTTGACACCCAGCAACACCGCCGCAATGGTTGCGCCGGCCGTGCCAGAGTCCGTCAACTGCTCTTTGCGACTTCCATCCTCGTCTCCCATGCTGATGCTGTCACTAGGCTCACGGAAGAGATTCTGTCTGAATCAATTGATGCCCGCACCGAGTCCCTCATCTCCCTGCGCGAGCTTGGCCCCCCTGATCTCGTCCATCTGTTGAAGCAGGCCACAAGAAACCCTGGCAAACAGGTATGCGATCTCGATACCCCCTCAAGCTCCCGTCCATTGCTGACCGCTTCTCTTCCAGCTCGGAGTCTACCATCATGTCACCGGTGTCGATGCCTCCTCATCCGCCAGTCTTGCCGCCTACATCAATACCCTGACCTACCGCGAGCATGGCCAGGCCGCCCAGACAAAGATCTCTGAAGGTCTCTACTGGTACGACAAATTTATGCGCCGTCCCCGAATCCCTTGACGCTGATCTGTTTGCTAGCTGCTACAATGCCTTCTCACGACTGGACATGCGCGTCCACGTCACGATACCCGGTACTGTCGAGAGCTACTGCGTGGACGAGCGGGGCGAGAAGCGCAAGGCGACGGACGACCTGTGGCTAGAGACATATCTCTGCAGTGTTCTCCGAGCTTACTCCTACGCCGACGATGGAAGCGGAGAAACCATTCGAAAGATTATGGGTGTACGCAGGTTCAACCCCGTCACCAATACCGAAACCGAACACCGTTTCCTCAATGCCGCCGAGCAGCTTTTCTTCCGAGGTATGAAAGGTCTTGTCTCTTGAATAGCTCCGATACTGATTCTACTCCAGGTTGGCAGCTGGGTTCCGACTCTGTTGTTCAAGTGCCGAACAATGTCTCCAACCATCTGACCGCTGGCCTTCTCAAGTACTTCCAGACCACCGGCCGGTACGCCTCGGGCATCAATCTCTTCGAGAAGCTGAGAGACCAGAACATCGAGGTTTCCTCTCTGTTGTCCAAGGTTTTGTTCATGGGCAATGAGGAGGTTGAGGGCGTTCGCGTACTCCACCAGGCTCTCAAGGAATCTCCGATGGACTATGTGATGCTCGACACCCAAGCCGAATTCCTGCTCAAGAAGGCGCAGACTGCCGCAACCCCTGAGCACAAGGAGGAAAGACTTCGTTTGGCTCTTGGGTGTGCTGATCGCAGCACCATTGCCGCACCTAGCGAGTTTGGCACTTGGGCAAGATTGGCACAGGTTTATGTTGCCATGGAGGACTGGGAGAATGCCCTGACGATTCTCAACTCCTGTCCCATGTTCACGTACCAGGACAAGGATGCGCCACAGATGCCTGAGCCTAAGGACGTTCATTTGCCGACTCTGCCGGAAACTCGTCTTGATGAGATCGATAGCGAACCCGAATCCAGGTACTCAGAGCAGGTTGATGCTAGCCTACTGAACCTGCGCGCTGCTGTGTACAAGGGTACCTTCAAGCAGGCCTACAGCATTTTGACGGAGATGACGGCGAAGATTGGATGGGATCAACTACTGAAGATTCGGAGCACTGTCTTCGTTATGGAGGATGAGTACCGCTCAGAGAAGCACGAGCCGCAGCCACCTCGCAACCCGAGTACCGATGGGCTTCGGGGTACCCCAGACCCGACAACGAACGGCGATCAGTCCGAATCGGACTCGGACGAGGATGACGAGAAGGAGGAAAAGGAAGAGAAAGATGAGGCGAAGCCGGCAGACACCGAGTCGACTGCTGAGACTTTGGCGACGAATGGACAGTCGGAGGGTGAGGCGGTTGAGAAGCCCAGCCATGCGATAGATCCTGGCGAGTTGAAGGGCGACGCCGAAAACGTAAGTGCTAGAACCAAACTTTCAATAGGCATTGCTAACAGAATCACAGGGCGCTCAAAGTGATGACCACCTGTCCAAGCTGAACAACAAGCGGTTGTGCGAGCGTTGGCTAGACAGCCTCTTCATGGTGTTGTATGAGGACCTGCGCGTCTACACTATTTGGCGCACGCAGATGGCTCAGTACCGCGCCCAGTCCATGCAATACAAGAAGTCGGCCGAGGAATGGGAGATTCTCGGTTCTCTTGCCGAGAGACTTCAACACACGGATGAGGCCGTGGAGGCGTACAGAGCTTGTCTCGCATCCAGGTTCAGCCCCAAGGCCTTGACCGGCATCCTACGGGTCTTTGAGCAGAACAAGAACACTCGCGAGACCGTAGCGTCTGTGATTCGTCTCGTGACCTGGCAATACAGGTGGTACTCGGAGTTTTCTCCCGAGCTTCTCCATACTATCCGGACACTCATCGAGGACGAGGGTGCCGTCAAGGTCAGGAGCATCATCCAGGCTACCAGTCTGCCACAGAACGTCCTCGATCTTACGCATCACTACGCTGCTCTTTGCGCTACTTTCCGCAGCAGCGGCACCGACGGCTAAGCGCAGCACTTCTATCAAATAATCAGAGAGACCGGCAGCTATTAGGAGCAAACTGTCGATGATGAAATGGAGGGGTTTTGTGCTTCAGTATCTTCATGCCCGAGACGAGACTTGCAGGATTACGACTTGGTTGCTCATGTTTTTTTTCTACCACAACAGCGTGCATCTTCACAATTATATCGGTGCGCTGTGTCGGGATATTTCAAAAGCATGAGCTGCGGCTGTTTGGGCCTCAGGACTGTAATGCAGAGTCAAATGATACCTTGTTCCGTCAACACTATTACCTGAGATTCATTACTACCGAATATTAAAGATGACTGTGCCGGTCGCGTGCGCATCCAAGATGCGGCGACGTTCCAGACCGCTGACCCGCTGAACAGGTTGCTAGCGACCGGGCGATTGACCGAACACACGGAGCACTCACGGCCCCGGCCGCTCACCGAGCCTAGCCGCCCGATGAAAACCAGCAAGGCCGATCGGGTGCCATTCTCTCAGGGACAACTGATATCACTCCTACGTCAAAGGTATGTTTTATCATGGCCGCTCGGAGGGTTTTGGGGGTCCTGTGGCGGCCAAGCGGCGTCGGGCCCGTTCGATCAGTGTCGATGAGATAAGTCCTCCCCACCTCAGGGCCACAAAATGGCGGGTAGTGATATCACCAGCGACAATCATCGAGATGACGTCGACTAGCAGAGTTCAGATGGCGAGCCTCATCGACAACTACATAAGTTGAACCTTCCAAGCAGAAAGAAACTGATTCTGCCTCTCATCACTAAATCAACCATTTCATCAACCTTCTCAAACAATATTGCAGGATATCCCTATTCGTCCACCCGAACCACTTATACCACCTTTACATCGTTTACACCATTTCATACACACCAACACACACAATGGCTCCCTCCAAGGACCAGCTTAACGAGATTGCCGCCCAGGCTCAGCTCGACCTCAACACCTACCAGTCCAAGACCGGAGCCGCCCGCCCCATGGGCAACGACGATGCCGGCGTTTCTTCCGTCGCAGAGCGCAAGTTCCCCGGCGCCTCCGTCAGCGTCCAGGGCGATCCTACCAACAATGTCTCCTACAAGCCTGAGCAGCCCGCAAAGGACCCAGCCGTGGACGACGACGACGTCGTACCGGCCAAGAAGATCTCTTCGCTTGGAACCCAGGACCAGAAGAACGACGTCCTTCTCCAAGGCGAGGGTGCCGTGAGAAACAACGTCGGCACTAAGCCCCCTGGCGTCGGCGGCAACAAGTTCCCCGGCTCGGATTACTACACCCCCGAGTCTGTCCCAGACAGCATCTCTGCAGAGGGCAACATTGCTCCCGAGAGCGTAACGCAGGCCTCTGCTGAGGCTGAGAACCCCAGGTAAAATTGGAGGGAATTGGAATGGAAGAATAGCGAGTCGGACATTGTATGATTATTATGATCATGATGTACAACAATAATGAATTGTCATAAAGGCGTACTTCACTTTGGGATTGAGACAAATGCATTCCGTGAATATCATCAACAATTACTATCACCTAGCGCATGATCAGAGGCACACATTCACTTGGTCAAGCAGCAGTATGTTGCGCCAACGGTTCTGAGTAAAAAAGTAATTGTATGATGAACAGATTGTTGCAACTTTTCTCCGGCCTAAGAAATGACAACAGAAATCCTCCAACTCCTCGCTTGGTCTACAAGGCCCCTAGGCCAAAGTCTATGATGCAAACAAAAAGAGTAATGTCTCAAATAGCAGGCTGGTAAACATCAGCAACGAATCGATCCCCCAGCGCCTCCCTAGCATCACGCCCCAACACCTCGCTCAAGTTACCCAAGAAATCATCAACGGCTTTCGGTCTCGCGCACGCAAACACCAACGCCCCGTTCTCGACACTCTTCTTCAGTTGCTCCCGCACACCCGGCTCAAGCATCGCATCTTGAGCTCTCTTCTTCCCCTTGTTACTTCCAATCAGTCTCAGCACGTCGAAAAGCCCCTCTTCATCGGCTTCTTGCACCGCCTCACGTACGAGAGTCTCATCGGAGGCTTTGAAGCCCGCAAAGAGACTGATGGTAGGGCTCTTCAGCGCCGGCGAGGATTGCAACCGCTGCAGGCGGTTCTGCAGGAGGCCCCTCACTGGCGCCATCCCGGATCCGGTGGTGAAGATAATGGTTGGCAGATCTTGGTTGCGCGCAATTTCTTCCAGGTGAGCTGAAGGGCGAATCTTGCAGGTCACGGCTCCGAAGGCCTCGAAGCAGTTGAGGTACCGGTCGGAGAATCTTCCGTTAGCATGGTGCTGCACGAGGAGATCAAGGGTATTGCCCTCTGCACACTTGGTTCGCGATCCGTCGGAGGCGATCGAGTACTCCCTCGGCTGGATTGTGGGCATTGCACTGCAAAGGGCGTCGAGAGTCACTGTCTGCCTCCAATATGAAGGAACCAGATGCACAGAATCTTCGATCGGAAGCTTTGTCAAGCTCTCCAGGCCCGTGATGGAAAGACCTTCTGCCCACGTAGCAGACTTGAAAGGCTGTTCCAAGTCTGCGAAGCGCTGCAGGTAATCCCCGACCGTAGGCTCGCCGGGGAGAGTTAAGATTTCATCAGACCGAAGACCTAGGGCTTCGAGAACACGAGAGACTTTGGTCTTGGAGTTGGGAGGAAGGATCCAAAGACTACCCATGGTAGGGTATTCGCGATCGCCCAAGTCAAGGGTGACCCTCTTCATGCCATCCGCTGCAGCCCCCGTGACGGGTTGGCCCACGACCTTGGCTTGAAACCACGGCCTAGTGTCAAACGGCCGGGCAGGTCGGGTAACTCGCTGTAAAGAGCTTTCTTCCGGATCCTCCGGGCTAGCCTTCTGCAGCGCGGCAAGGCACTGATCGAAGAACTGCCCAAGAATCGACCAGGGCGGGTTCTCAGCTCCGGTGTCGGCCTCACGCATACCGATGAGCCGCTGAGCGTCGCCCTTGCTCAGCAACTCCTCAAGGTCCATGGCTGCCTGGTTATACGTGTCCGGGTACTCCAGCGAGCCATTCGCTAAGATGGCATACCGACACGACAAGCCCTTGTTCCTCGCGAGTGCATCTGCAAATGCCTTGCCATTCTGGGGAATCTCTCCTCGGCCAGTCGTGCTGGCGACGATGACCAATACGTCATCAGACTCGATCATAGAGATGGGCAGGGCGTTGAGTGTGCACGGTGGCACGACGGTGCCTAGCTTGGGGTTGACCTCGCACGCGTGCTGCAGCTGCGCGCACAGCCTCTTACACAGCTTGATCGCGACGTTGCCCGAGCTGCAGAATCCGATGTAGATCCTGCGCCCGGGCCCTCGAGGAGACAACGGTGTCAGGGGCGTTAGGGGTCTGACAGGAGGGGGCACGGGTAGGAACGCGGTGCCGAAGGGGGATACTGGCGTTACTGGTCGCGTGAGGGAAATCGACGGCACCGGGATTGAGATGTTGAGCTTCGTGTCCGAGGCGAGATGCGGCCGTGTGCGAGGGGCTTGTCGCTCCCGGCGCCAGGCCTTGATGGGATCCTGGACGTGGCGGCAGATGAGCGGCTTTGGCTGGTAGTTTGGGGAACCGCCGCGATGCCAGAGAGGAATGATGGAGCCTTGCGGAGGAGCGAGCCAGTACGGGTCTGAGGGGAGGCGGAAGCCGTTGTTCATGAGATGCTCGTCGTCGAATTGGGTGAATTGTTCTGCTGCGCCGAGAGAATCTGACATTCTGACGCCTGCCTGAGCGAAGGACCAGTACGTGGCGTAGTTGAGCTCGAGCTGCGCGCGGGACTGCATGATATTGTAAGCATGGTTCCCGAGAGTTGCAGAAGAGAACTTACCAAGACAGCTAGACGTTCATAGTCTGGCAAGTCGTCAACATCCCCGTCGACCAAGCCAATCGCCTTGGCAATCTGGGGAAGTGCGTTGTAGCGGAAGGAATCTGCCAGGTTACGAACGCCAATCTCGGCATCCATGAACCTGTAGGCTGGTTAGGTACGTCATTGAGGCGAGGCAGAAGCAAGGCCAACTCACCACCCGATGAAGGGCGCTGCGGTATACTGAACGCCGCCAATGCTGAAGCCAAGACGGCTCAGTGCTGGCGCGGGAACCCAACGCAGGCCAAGGGTCTCGAGCCCGGGATGCTTAGGATGGCGGATCTGCACGAGCGGGAAAGCGTCCTTGGGCAGCTCGGTGATGACGGGTTCTTGGCCTTCGGCCATGGTGACAAGAGGCAGGAGATCCCATTGTGAGCGGAATCGCGGCGGTGTCCAGCCCAATTCGATGATGGCGTTTGTCAACTCGATGTTGGCGGGGTCTCCAAGGATTTCACCATTGGATTGTTGATACTTGACGGTGTTAGTGGTGTAAGTGAGGGGTCAAGGTGAAAACAAGAACTCACTCCTGCAAATGACAGCAGTTGGGAATTCCAGATCATCGGACCACGGCTGTCAATATCCCTCGGAGGAAAGACGAAGACTAAATCGAGTTAGCCAAGTTTATTGACAGGGATAATAAACAAAATACCTGTAGGGTTGATTTCGCCAGAGTTGTAGGCAACTTTGAGATTCTCAATCAAAGTCTCGGCCATCTTCTTGCTGGTCCTGACGTGCCTCAAGTCACACAGTCTTCAAAGGTCAGCAAGGAGCCTAGATAATCCAGATGGGATTACACTTACCTCAGGTTTCTGTATTCGGACCTCATGATGCACTTTCGTGCGTGTTTCCATGCCGTCCGAAGACCAAACTCGAGCTCTTCGAATGTCTGCGTCCAGAGACCGCCAACAAGACCATCTGTCGTTGTGGGTGGTGCTTCTGGTCCACAAGACGCGGATGTGAACCTGCCCTCCGTTGAGTTCTTCTGAATCTCCTGAAGAGCCTCATGTGCGCGGTGGTGGAGTTGCTCCATCGTCAGGAGCCCATCCTTGTACATCTGCTGCAGGAAGTCGAGGGCATCTTCGCGGACTTGGGCATAAGACTGATTTCGGCCAACACGATCCTCGTCCATGTGCGTCATGCGACCAGATTGACAGAATTTTGGCGTGCATCCTGTCGAAGCCAACGAAGGGTATTGTTCGCGGATGTTGGCGAATTCTTGCTCGACCGAGATCGGCCGGGGCGGCACCGCGAGGGTGCTCTGCAGAAAAGGACATGCCATATCTGCCTTGTGTGATGTGATCGATCAGATGTGGGGGCGGGACGAGACCGACAGGAACGTCGACTACTTATTTTCCCCGGATTTTCAAGGGTAGATTGAGAATGCAACTCAATGCATAAGAGAGTGAGTACAAAGAGTTGCTTGATTGCTGGGGCTGGTCAGAGTGGATCTCTCGGTGAAAATTGGCGATGGCGACATCAAGCGAATGACTAAGTTGTGTGAAAGCCGATGAAGCTCTCTTGATGATCCGGACTAGACAAAACAGAAAGAGGGGATGAAGCTCAACTTTATACGGGAAACAAGATGCAACTAATAATACCAAGCTGAAATTTGGGACGGTCAAATGTTCGGTTGCCTGGCCTGCCATGACTTCCAGTTTCGGCCGACATCACCGTCTGATTTTGGACACCCCGGTTCTGTTCTAAGCCACTGGCCCCCTTTCCATCCCAAAACTATTGCACATCAATCAACCTCGTGCTCAGAGTAGCACATCCAGCAATGGCTTTTAGATTGGGTAGCACAAACTGTCTCAGGCAACCGGTGCGAGTGCTGCTGAATGGCTGAAGAACTGCAAGGGGCATGTTCAAAAATGCTGTCAGCCCCATCCAGTAAGAGACGTTTCCCAAAGCCACCGCCATGGGCCGTACCCCTCCATCACGAATCCTTAAGAGTATCAACATGGGCTTTAGAGTGGGGGATGACGCGGGGGAAGAGTCTTAGCGCTGCTGCGCGATGCATGTTTTTGGGGGTCCTTCGGGACCGATGCCAATGGCTGGCTGACCGACCTGTCGAGGCTGAGTTCCTCTCACTCCCGTTATGCATGGACGGCGCCCGAACACTTCACAGAGGCGTTATTTCGCTGACAAAAAATCGACCCCACGGCAACGCTACGAGCTGCATTTTGTCAGCCAAGAACCCCTCCTGCGAGGTTCTGACTTACAAAACGCCTCTGACAACTGGAACATCGCGTGGAGGATGAAAGCAAGTAATTCAATTAGCTAACAACTGCGACCTTGGCTGACTTCAGCTGAGCTTCGGAGCGTCTGCACATTGTCGTAATTGGGCAGGTCGACGATATGTGTGTGTAATATCTAGGCCACGTTCAGCTGCATCAACTGAGCTAATTTGATCGACCAGTGGCGGTTGAACACAAGGGAAGCGTCGAATGTGGGATGGAATGCGATGGTCTGGTTGCCCCCAAGTCTTGTCCGTGACTCTTGTCATACGGCCTAACTCATTGCCATCTCCCGGCGGAGACTTCTTGCGCACGCAACTCGCGTGGAAGCCGGCGCCATCGTTGCATTTCACGAAGCCTCAATTGCCTTCGGAGCCTCCTCGTGATTTCATTGACAGTTGTGTCGTCAAACTAGTGATCTGAGTGCAACGGAAGCTTCGGATAGAATATTCGACGACCATGTGTTCCGGGACAGGAGGTCTGCGGCAACTGTCCGGAGACCACGAGGACGTAACAGCGTACAGAGACACGGAGGCGCTGATCTAGAAGCTTTCGTGGAAAATCAGCTTGGCAAATTTCCATCTTTCGCAACCCGAGCCGACAGGCTGGGCGGCCGAGTTTGATAGACTATCGCCCAGCCTGAATCATGTGGCACTCGCCTCAACCTGCATCAAAACCTCGAGAGAAAACCACATGGTAAACAATTAAACTGGGGCACGTTTCGTGTAACCATGAACGTGTTTTGAGAAATAACATTCGACGGACTCGTTCGGTCGCGAAGATCTCCCCTCTGACAGAGGGTGGCTTGAAACCTGGATAAAGTGTCAAGGCGGTGGCACTGCATAGTGTTGAACCGCGCGGATATCTGCAATACCGAATCTGGCAGCGGTCCCGGTCCGCTGTAGCGCAAGCCGCAGCCGGCGATGATGCAAGTGTCTTCCGTATTAACTGGTGCTGGTATGCTTCCCTCGGCCGGTCACTTGATGCATTGAAGAGGAGCTTCCGAAGCTTTCGCGACGTCGCCAAGGGTATTGGCAAACTCTTCAGACTCTAAATGACACTTGACATGTAGTAGGTCTGCGAAGATGATGTAGATACGAGCATAAGCTTCGAGCAGGAGCTTCATAACACGCCCTAATTGAAAACGGGGAGTTCCGATCGTCTGGGGTTAGATTGAGGCCGGCCAGTGAGTACATCTGTGCTGGTGGTGGACGTGTACCTCATTGAGTCGTCTTCCAGTACCGTTCGTTCTCCGAATGTTGCTTGCCCGGACGTGTCAGGCTGCCAGGGGCATTCGGAACTCGGGGGAAATCAGACGCTGATGGAATCACGATGATTGAACAATCGGGTGATGAAGTGAGATGAAAAAAGAACGTTGAGCTGTTGGGAAAGATTTGCTGATCGCCAGGTACCGCACCCTTGGTCAAAACTGGCCCGTGCACCCGACCAACATCAGACGCCGCATGAAGCACATGGAATCTATTGCAGTTGAAATATTTTTTGTCTAGATGATATCAAACCTGTTGAACGAACTCCTTACTCCATCTCGATAGTGCCTATTCACTGTTAGTTCAGCTGGAACGAGAAGTCCAAGAAGACCACTTACCAGGAGGCTTGGAGGTAGTGTCGTATGTCACTCTGGAAACGCCGTCGACCTCGTTGACGATGCGCCTGGAAATCTCACGAAGCAACTTCCAGTCGAACTCGTAGGGCTCCGCGCTCATGAAGTCGTCGGAGCAAACGGCTGCGGCCTGTTAGCCTCAAAGATTAAGTTGAGATGTTTGGGAGAAATACCTCGTAGAATGACGATGTAGCCATAGACTCTGGCGTCGCCTGATGGTAGTTTGATGTCAGTGTCTGTAACATCCGTCTTGGTGGCCAATACTCTTACCTTGCACTCCCACACTCTTGGTCGAATCCACGGCGGCATAAGCCTGAGACATGGAGTCGTAAACGCCAGCTTCCTTGATCATGGAAATGAAGATGTGATCGGCCCTATTGTTTGTGAGCCACGATCTTAGTTGAAGCGAGAAAGGAGATGACGAACTTCCTGCAGATCTCTACGCGCTCGGGCGTGACTTCGCCCAAGACTCGGATGGCCAAACCCGGTCCAGGGAAAGGATGCCTCATTACCAAGTCGCGATGGATGCCTAGACTTTGACCAATGGCGCGGACCTCATCTTTGAACTATACAAAAATCAGCATGATGTTTGCAGACGGCCTTGCTTCTGCGAAGCCTTGTCTGGATTCAAGCGTATTACCATCTCTCTGAGCGGCTCCAGGAGCTGAAGTCCTTGCTATACCACAGTCAGCACCAAGAATCAAGTGACTTGAGTCATAATGTTCGTTGAGCGTACCCCCTCAGTCATGCGCTTTGGCAGACCGCCGACATTGCTGGGGTAAGTCGTTAGTTACTGCTCATTGTTGGTCATTTTGATCGGGAACATACTGATGGCTCTTGATGGTATGAGATGGGCCTCTGAAGCTAAGACTTTCAATAACGTCGGTATACAGGGTGCTGTACAAAGTTAGCCGACGGTATCTCAACGTGAATGATGCTTACTTACCCCTGAAGGAACCACTTGACAGGCCCGGCGTTCTCGGTGTGCTTCGCCTCCTCCTCAATTCTGATGGCCTCCTTCTCGAAGAGGTCGATGAAGGTCTCTGTTGAGGTTGTTAGTTCTGAAATGTCGCGTGTTATTTCACGATAAAGACTCGCCTCCGATAATCTTCTCAAGTTAGTCAATGGTATCAGCATGATAACGTAGACATTGAAACATACCTTTCGCTTCCTCTCGGGCTCAGTAACACCCTTGAGTCGGCCCAAGAACAGATCAGCTCCGTCCACAACGGTCAGGTTGATTCCGAGGTGCTCCTTCAGCGTCGCCTTAACCTCGGTGCACTCGTTCAGTCTCATGACACCGTTGTCGACGAGAATGGCGTGGAAACGGTCGCCGATGGCCTCCGTCATCAAACGGGCAGCGACTGTGGAGTCGACACCGCCGGACACGGCACCGATGACCTGGGCGCGGTCCCCAACCAGCTTGCGAATGCGGGCAATCTCAGTTTCCTTGAACTCCGCCATCTTCCAATCAGGACGAGCGCCACAGATCTTTACAGCATAGTTCTTGAGAATATCAGTTCCACGGACGGAGTGGCTGATTTCGGGATGGAACTGAAGTCCTAGTAACCTGTTAGCAAAGGGAAGCATACAGATGGGTGAGCCTGAAGGATGTCGCTTGACGCATCAATTGACGTGCACGTGGCGGCCAAGGGGGTAATCACCAAAGATCTTCTTGGTCTGGTGGGCAATGGCGGCGTAGGGGCTGTTGCGCGTAGTTCCGATTGTGACAAATCCTTCGGGGAGCTTGACAAGCTTGTCAAAGTGAGAGTTGATCACTACGATATGTTAGTATATGAGCACCGTATCATACCATAATGCTCACCTTCAGTGGTGTCTCCACCCAGGTCGGAGAGAAGAAGATCGATATGGTTGGCGCCGCCGACCTTCTGGATGTTGAGAGCTTTTCAAAGTTAGGATGTCCGATTCATAATCACAGAATGGTCGACAGATTTACTCACTTCCAAGACCGTACTCTCTGACATCTCCGCGCTTGACATTCTCAGGGTTGCTGATCCAGGCAATCTCCTGGCATCCGTAGCAAATTCCGAGGATGGGGACTCCAAGATCGAAGACAGCGGGATCAACGTGCGGGCTGCCTTCGTCGTAAACCTGATGCCGTTAGTTTGTTAACAGCGATAAAAAAGTCCGTGAACTTTACGGAAGCCGGTCCGCCCGAAAAAATGATTCCGACAGGCTTGAAAGGCAAGTCGGCAAGCTTCGTGTTGCAGGGGAGCATCTCCGCGTAGACGTTGAAGCTTCGGAGACGACGAAGGACTGCAGAGGCTCAGTCAGAAATTCGAACATTTCGGGGCGAGTGAAGCCGTACTCAAATGACTGGTCTGACTTCCAAAGTCGAGAACCAGGATCGTGTCGAAAAGACTGTGCGGCGGCGCCGCCTGTTCGAGAATGTCACCCATCTTG